GCGGGCCACAGAAGCCCGCCGCGGGAGCCTGGGTGGGGGCTGCCGGGAGCCTGTGGGTGCCTAGCATGCCTGCCCAGCCGCCATCCTGCTCCAGGTCGCCGAGATCCATAGGACCTCCAAGGACGGGCAGCTCTACCACCCGGCAGGCGGTGCCAAGAGCTGCAGTGCCCAGGCCGAGCCCACCGAGCACGACATCCTGCCGGCCTCCCAGGTGTACTCGGTGAGCGGGCCTGGGAACGGCCCCCTTCCCTCTCCGCGGCTACGCACAGCCCTGCCTCCCCTGCCTTCGCAGTCCTGGCGCTGGGGGGCCCAGGCAGGCCCTCGAGCTTGTCTGCTCCGCCGCCTGTGTCTCCAGCCCCACAGCCTGACCCCGGGGTTTGGTGCTGGTGTTTCCCTCCCCGTCTCCACGAACACGGCCATACCTGGACCAGCTTTGGAGTGCCCTCGAGGGGCCTGCTGGTCAGCACCCTCTCTCCTCCTCACAGCTCAAACCCAAGCGGGTGGGAGCCGGTTTCCCCAAAGGCTCCCTCCCATTCCAGACGGCCTCACAGCTGATGGCGGAGATGAGGGCTGGGGGGCAGGCCCCGCGGCCTGAGCAGGAGCCCGCCAGCCAGCCCCGTGGCCTCAAGGATGAGGAAAGCAGTGAGCCTGTCCCCGGGCTCAGAGAGGCCCCCAGAAGCAGTGCTCATTGTGGGGGGCCCTCCCCTGAGAAGGCAAAGGGCTCCTCGGGGGGCAGTCCCGCGGCCAAGGCCCAGGCCAACAAGAAGCAGCAGCTCCTGGCCGCTGCGGCTCTCAAGGACTCTCAGAACATCGCCCGCTTCTTCTGCCAAAGGGCCGAGAGCCCGCCTGCCCTGGCTTCAGCCCCAGGGGCAGAAGGTGCCAGCCCTTCCTGTGCTGGGGTGCAGGGACCCCTGGCTGTGGCCCCAGAGACATGCACTGGGGAGGAGGATGGAGCCCTGGGGCGTTCGGCTGCCCGCCCCCAGACGGAGTGCACCAGGGAGGGGCCAAGGTAAGGGCAGGGCAGTCCCGCAACCCTCTGGAATCCCTTTCGCTCTCGGGCCTCTGTGACCCACTTCCTGCCGTGGGCTGTGCGGGGCTGCCCGGCTGAGGGCACAGCTGGTACCTAGAGCCCTGACGCCTGCTCTCTCCTCACCAGTGCCTGCCCACTGCGAGACCTGGAGCCCCCTGAAGGCCAGCTCACCCCCCCAGAGGCGACACCGAGGGGCAAGCGGCCGAGGCCCCAGCAGGTACTGCCAGGCCCCGGCGGGAGGGAGCCAGCACGTGCTGTGGCCAGTCTTCCAGAAGGGGAGGGGCCAGTGACAGGGAGCCCAAGGGTGACCCTCCACTGTGGCTCTGCTCAGGAGAACCCAGAATGCCAGGCGCGGAAGAGGCCTCACCCCTCAGCCAGTGCCTCCGTTTTAGCCGAGGCCAACGACAACATCTTGGCCAGTGGTCAGAGCGCCATAAGCCGCACGGCGCAGGGCTCCTGCCAGCCCCCAGCCCCGGGCACCTCCCTGAAGGTGGCTGCGAACATTGTGGTCAAGTGCCTGACCCCTTTCTACAAAGAGGGCAAGTTTGCCTCCAAGGTAGGCCAGTCTGCCCTCCCCGGGGCCTCGGGCACGGTGCGGGGAGGGCCGGGCGTGGGAGCCACCGGGAAGCAGGCGAGCCCGGCCGCTGCCCTCTCCCTCGGCTGCCTTGCCCTGTGGTCGTGGCTGTGGTTGCTGGGGCCAGAGCTGGGGTCTGAGCCCTCCGCTCCGCACCCTCCACCCGCAGGACCTGTTCAAAGCCTTCGCCCGCCACCTCTCCCACACGCTGGCTCAGGACCCCTCTCCCGGGAGGAGCGGTGAGTGCCTGGGTCACCCCGCCGGGCGGCACTGGGGGCCCTGCAGGGAGACAGCCGGCCCTCACACTCCCCCACCCGACTCTCTAGTGAAGGAAGAGGCCCAGCACCTCATCAGGCAGTTCTTCCGGGGCCGGGCCCGGTGCGAGAGTGAAGCTGACTGGCACGGCCTGTGTGACCCGCAGAGATGACCGACTGCTGCCCAGCGGGGCCAGTGTCCACCCCCGACTCTACCGTGGGCCAGCGGGCCTGACTCAGGAATGGGAAGGCGGACAGGCCTGCGGCCGCAGGGCATCTCTTTCCTCAGGGTCCTTCGCCCTTCCAGCCACACCTTGCTGTGGAGATGGCCCCGGACACCTCCCAAATCAAGGTCAGAGGCCAGAGGTCAGCCCAGCTTCCTATGTACTTGCCAGGCCTGAGGCCCTCTCTCCTGGCCTCATGGAGCCCCACTTTAGAAGGACCTGGGTGGGGTGGCTGCTGCCAGGGGAACAGGAAGAAGAAACGGTCCCTCCACCTCTTGTACCCGAGTTGTGAGCTGGGGGAGGCCACCTCTGCAAGGCGGGGGGCTCCAGGGGCAGAGCTGTGGGAAGAGGCAGCGCCGGCTCTGCTTCTCGGCTCCTGCTCGGGAAAGCGAGGCCGGGCCGAGGCGCCTCCCGGAGGAATAAAGTCTGTTCTGACACGTGCACGCGCACAGGTTTTCTCTCGGAGCTTTATTTCCTTGGCAGCTGCTGCTCCCGAGCCGGGGCCAGGCGGGCATCTCCCCCAGACGGGCAACTCAGCTCCCACGCTGAGTTCCCACAGCCCCCACGTCCCCCGAAGGAGTCCTTCCCAGTTGATGTCACTGTAGCAGCCCCTGCCTGGTGACCTCCATGTGGGCCAGCCGGGCTGTGCTGGGCAGGTTCCAGAACAGCCAAGCCACCAAGTCCAAACCAAAGTGACCTGACAGCACCCAAGGGAGACCATCGCGTGGGACTGGGCCCAGGGAGGGCCCTTCCTCCTCTCCTGCCCTCCACCTCTCCTCTCGGGTGAGGCGGCCACTAAACGGAGGTGTCGCTGCTGTGGAGCAGGAAGGCGATGGTGTGCTGTAGCTCCCGGGCCTGCGGGCACAGGCCTGTGAGGACAGGCTCCCAGCCAGCCCGCCTCTGC